AATAATAATAATAATAATAATAATAATAATAATAATAATAATAATAATAATAATAATAATAATAATAATAATAATAATAATAATAATAATAATAATAATAATAATAATAATAATAATAATAATAATAATAATAATAATAATAATAATAATAATAATAATAATAATAATAATAACAATAACAACAACAATAACAATAACAATAACAATAACAACAGTAACAATAATAATGACAATGACAACAACAATAACAATAGCATTAACAATAACAATAACAACAATAACAATAACAACAACAATAACAATAGCATTAACAATAACAATAACAACAATAACAATGACAATAACAACAATAACAATAGCATTAACAATAACAATAACAACAGTAACAATAATAATGACAATGACAACAACAATAACAATAGCATTAACAATAACAATAACAACAGTAACAATAATAATGACAATGACAACAACAATAACAATGACAATAACAATAACAGTGAAAATAACAACAAAAACAGTATCAATATCAATGAAAACAACAATAACAATAACAACAAAAACAATATCATTAGCAACAATAACAATAACAACAACAATAACAATAACAATAACAACGAAAACAATATCAATAACAACAATAACAATGATAACAATAATAACAATGATAACAATAATAACAATGATAACAATAATAACAACAACAACAACAACAAGAACCCCCCCCCCAATCCTTTGTTTATTGTTGCCGGGGGGGGGGGCATAGGAGACGGAGACCGAGGCCCAATTCAACAATTTTTTTTTCAGGATCTCTCCCTCTCTCTCTTTCCTTTTCATTTTCTTGTTTATCTCCTCTTCTTCTGTCCACTTATCCTATTCGTTAAATTAATACAGTTTTGATTTTTGTGATTTTTGATGTCGAACACATTTATTTGTTTTGGCCTTAACCAACAATATTAACAACAACAACAGCAATAACAACAACAATAACAATAGCATTAACAATAACAATAATAACAAAAGCAACAACGACACTAACATCAACACATACAAATAACACCACCACGAACAACAACAACAAACACATTAACAACATCACCACCATCACTAACAACAACAAACAACAACAAAACAAAAACAAAAACAAGAACACGCCTGCCAACAACAAGAACAAGAACAAGATCTACATTGACAAAAGAACAACAACAAAATAACATGAAACATTATCAATTATTTAATTTGAACCCCTATTTTGTCTTTGGATTTGATTTTTTATCTGATTATGTAACCGACGCTTATCAGCTCATGTTCACAGATAAGAATAAAGAAAATGAGAACTCGTGGGTAAGAACATGTTTTCGAATGGGGGACTTTAAGAAAAAAAAAGTAAAGTAAAAAAAAAATAAATAAAAAATAAAAAGTTGCAAAGAAAATAAAGTAAAGAAAAAAAAAGGTTTAAAGAAAGAAAAGATAGTTGCTTAGTTATATTGTGGAATTTGTTTTTTGTGTTTTGTGATATTAAGAAAAAAAAAATCGGTGGTATTTTTTATTGATAGGTATTAAATCCGATTCCTTGTTATTATTATTTTTTTTATTCAACCATTTTATTATTATTATTATTATTATTATTATTATTATTATTATTATTATTATTATCATTATTATTATTATTGTTGTTGTTGTTGTTGTTGTTGTTGTTGTTGTTGTTGTTGTTGTTGTTGTTGTTGTTGTTGTTGTTGTTATTATTATTATTATTATTATCATTATTATTATTGTTATTATTATTATTATTATTATTATTATTATTATTATTATCATTATCATTATTATTATTATTATTATTATTATTATTATTATTATTTGTATTTGTATTTATATTTCCAAAGATTATCATCATTATTAAAATCTAATATTTTCAATGTTTACCTGTTTATTCATCATTTTTTGAAGGGGGGGAGGGGACGCTATATTAATCGATATCAAATTATTTATTCATTTAATCCACTCTCCATTTTTTTTTATTGTGTGTGGGGGGGAGGGGGGGGGTAACTGATATGAATTGTTATTGATATATAAAAAAGTTAATAAAACAAAAGATATACATATAAGTAGATGAAGATCAGTCACTTGAAAAAAAAAATAGATAAAACATACCCGGATTTGCTTCTTTTATCTCCAGAACAGCGAAAAGATAACATTATCTTTATAAGCTGTGGCTCCGAAGTTGTTTGTAGCCGTAAGCCTGAGTTTATTTCGTACGAACTCTGGCTTGGCGGGAAAGTGAGTTAGCTCAATGAAGAGACCAGAATGAATGTTGTTTGGGACTTAATAAAACACAGGAAAACACATATACATACACACGCACACGCACACACACACACACACACACAAACACACATACACTCGCACACGCACACGCACACGCACACGCACACACACACACACACACACACACACACACACACACACACACACACACACACACACACACACACACACACACACACACACACATATACACACGCATACATTTAACACACACACACTTCACCACTTTATCATTAACATCATCCTTACGTAGACAAACTGGTGAGAACCTGTAACCGAAGTGACCCGATAAGAAATTCCATGGATGATATGAAATACATGAGATTTATCAGTGTTTCAGATGCTATGATGTACGCATACACACAAACGCACACGCATACACACAAACGCACACGCATACACTCAAACACACACGCATACACTCAAACACACACGCATACACTCAAACACACACGCATACACACAAACGCACACGCATACACACAAACGCACACGCATACACTCAAACACACATGCATACACACGCACACACACGCATACACACGCACACGCATACACTCAAACACACACGCATACACACAAACGCTCACGCATACACTCAAACACACACGCATACACTCAAACACACACGCATACACTCAAACACACACGCATACACTCAAACACACACGCATACACTCAAACACACACGCATACACTCAAACACACACGCATACACACAAACGCTCACGCATACACTCAAACACACACGCATACACTCAAACACACACGCATGCACTCAAACACACACGCATACACTCAAACACACACGCATGCACTCAAACACACGCGCATACACTCAAACACACACGCATACACTCAAACACACACGCATACACTCAAACACGCACGCATACACTCAAACACACACGCATACACACGCACACACACGCATACACACACACACACGCATACACTCAAACACACACACACACACACACACACACACACACACACACACACACACACACACACACACACACACACACACACACACACACACACACACAACCCCCCCCCCCTACACACAAACACACACACAAACATCCCTCCCTCCTTACACACACACACAACCCCTCCCCCCCCTACACACAAACACACACACAAACATCCCTCCCCCCTTACACACACACACACAAACACAGCACCACAGACTCAGAACAAATGAACACAGAAACCGAGAGACAAGATTCGAATTAATTACATAATAACGATCACAGGTCACTCCATCTCGACTGTACAAAGTTGTCGGAAATTCTTAGGCGTTAATGATAATTTATTACATTCATTAGTATTATTTTTACTACTCTTTTAATACTACTATTACTACTTTACTACTACTACTTTACTTTACTAAAGTAGTACTACTTGACTATTATTATCATTAGTATTATTTTTATTACGTTTGGTAATGGTAGTAACAGTTATAATGCGAATGATGAAGATTTATTATGATGACGGTGGTAATGATGATGATAGTTAATGATGATGTTTATGATAATGATAACGATGATGATAGTAATAGTAAAAATTATAATAATGATAATATTGGTAATGTTGATAAAATTGAGATGATAACAACAACAGCAAAGATAATGATAATGACAGCAATAGCAACAACAATGATAGTGATAATAATGATGATGATAATGATAACGGTAACAACAACAAAAATAATGATAATAATGAAAGTCATAACAATAACAATGATAATATCGGTATTAGTGATAATTGATAATAATTACGTTAATAACAGTAAGAATCATAATGTTTCAAGTAGCATTACTAATACTATTAATATCCTCCTTACAGTTATTTTTATCATCATCTTGATCTTTACTGTTATCATTATTATCTTTTGTTACCATGGTTACTAGTATCATTATCAATAATCTCATCATTATCATCATTGATAATGACATCATTGTCATTATCATTACTATTATTATTTTCATTATTTTATCATCATCATCATCATCATCATCATTGTCTATATTAATATTAAACATATTAAATAGGAATTAATTTTTGGATATACGAAAAAGTTGATAAAATAATTGTCTTTGTTTTATATGGTATTCATCGATCAAGTTCATAAGGTCGACCTTTGAACCTCGGCATCAGCTGAGGTCGACCTTGATGCCCGAAGATAACATTATCATCTCCTTTTATCTCTCTCTCTGATAACGACTCCGAGGTTCGAGATACAGCACGTGTAATTGAAAATTGAATTAAGTAATTTTTTCTTCTTGTGTTTAAGAGCTGAATGTAAAGACTGTGAATGATGAGAGTAATAATTTATTTAATTTTGAATGTTGGAGGTTGGGTGTCATGGAAGCGGCTTGCTTTTGGTAACACTGTTCCGAGTTAGATTATATGAAGTAAAATAATCTCACAGAGTAAAATGAAACAGAGTATATGCAGAGGAAATGAACACAAATGAGTAGATAAATAAACAAAACCCAATATAAAATGAGATACTGAACTCCTATTAAATAAATCCCCTATCATATATGTAGATCCACAAACGCACCTAAAACTAAGTAACATACACCAAGAAGAGAAGAATAAAAAACAATTACATAAAACACAATTACTCACCCTCACATAAACCAACCATCACATAACAGTTAAACAAAAAAAAGAAAAAAAAAGAAAATTATTATCACCTGGTAAGGGTCTCTCCGCGGCGAAGGGCTTCTGGCAACAGTGCTCCTCCAGTCAGCTGATCGACGTCAACAAAGATGGACCCGAAGTTGCGTTTTGATGGGAAGGTTGCTATTGTGACCGGGGCTGGAGGCGGTAAGGAGAGCTTGGGGGTAATTTAAGACTGGAAAATAGGTGTGAGGGTGTTTTGTGCGTCTTTTGGGAGAGGTGGAAGGGCGTGACGGGGTGATATAAGGGGTTTTATGTGATGATGTTTCTTGTGGTGTGCGGGAGAGAGTCGTTTTTTTTTTTCAATTTCGTTTTAAGTTTTTGTTTTTATTTTGTGTCTTTTGGAGTGTCAGTTTGTTTGTTTGCGTTTGTGGGATTCTAGGAGACGAGATGTATATTATGTATGTAGAACGAGGATATAGCGAATGGCGTTTAAGCATTTAATTTTTATCAATTTCGGCTGCAAGTCATGTTAACATTTTTTTCTTATTAATTACAAACTGCACTGTCATGGTTACTGTTCAGAGTCAAACGGTCGCTTAATGTGCATAGAATCGATACAGAATTATATATATGATGAATCATAATAGGAAATCTACATGAAAGCAGGATTTTATCTTCTTGGTTTAGTGACCAACAATCTTTGTATATCTTTTGTGGAATTGAACACTAAAAACTTGATTTCCACAATCCATTAAGAATTAAGTCAAAATGAAAATTAAATCAAAATTATTATAGCCCATACAATGTGTGGTTCTCCTCACTCATAGCCTATTTAAGTATTTTCACCACCTTCTTAGATAACAATTGGTACTAACAGGGAATAGTAATTCTTTCCAGAAAGTGTATTTTGCGTTCTTGTGTTTATTTGATGATAATCGGTGACGATTATAAGTATACTATAGTTGTATACCATTTTTGGTCGGCGGAAATCCAGTAAATACCCCAATGGAAGGGGGTCCGGGGGTGGAGCCCCTGATAGGGGGTTTGGTAAAGTTGCTTGGTTACCCAGGGTGCATTCTGTGTAAAATTCACGCTGGAGGTAAGCCAGTAGCTCATCGAGTGTACGCCAACGTTCCTGATAAGAGTAATTTTTCATAAAGTATGACACCAAGTTATAGCCATGTAGATTGTTGATGGCAGCACACACTTTTAAATAAGAATCGTAATTTTCTTCCCCAGCCTCGTGATTCTTAAAGATTTGGGATTTTGAGCCTCAGATGTTTGTTAAAAAACAGCCGCAAGGAGTTTAAGGGGGGGGGGACCTGTGCATTGTAAAGGAATGAAACAAACAATATTGTATAAGTGCATTGCATTCAATTTAAAAGCTTGAAAAAACAGTAAAGACAAAAAAAGCATGCGCCGAGATTTTTCCATTTCATTACGCCAATATGCCAAGGACTATAATTTAGGCTAAATTCATGCCGCCACGCTGACAGAAAAGCTAACTCCACGCCGGGGATCTTTGGGCCTAAGTGCATGAAATGCACCCTGGTTGGTTACAAGGTTTTGTGTATAAACGTAACTTCACAGCTTGATAATGATGTGCATTTCCGTAGATTTTAATGAACGCGGGCAGGTCTTCCTGTAGACTTTTTTGAATAGTGGCGTTGAGAGCAGTAGAGTTTTTGAAACGTGGTGTGACTTTCAGTGTTGGCGGGCGTAGAGTTTCTGTAGAGTTTCATGAGCTGATTTTAAATACTTTCTTTTGCTGTTTCATGCATTATTGCATTATATTTATTGTATTTAAGCCTATTTTACCCCATAATTTCCCTGATATACTACATTCCCTCTCCTACTATCGGGACTTCACAAATCAAGATTGTTGGCTGGATATGGATTTCTGCCAACCAAAAATGGTATACAACTATAGTATACCTATAATCGTTGCTGATTATCGTTAAATAAACACATGAATGCGAAATACATTTTTGGAACAAATTACCGTTTTGGTAACACCCGGTAACTTTATATAGCATTGTGATTAACCCCTTGCCGATGGGTCACTCGCTGAGGCCAAACCACTTGATCTGTGGAGTGTGGCTGTACGCCATGGCCATGCACCAAAGCACCATGAGCTAGGGGTTCGACTTGATGTACTGAATTCCCACACTCAAAGTCACCTCGTTGCCATTAATCGTCAGAGCATAGACTTAAAATTAAAAAAAAAATTCACCTGTCATTAAGGGGTTAAAGCAAAACATGTTCTCTCTTCAACCTGTGATCTTTGTTAAATTTCAGTTTATTACTAAGAAAGATAAATGTACCAAATTCACTCAACTTTGCAAAGAATTTAGGTGTTTGATAATATTGTTTAATTGCAATACAGAAATATTTTGGAAGTCAGGCTAGACATACAAGTGAAGGGTTATGGGCAATATTCCTATTATTTGCAAATGTGTTTACAGATTGAATTATTTGCATTCATGGGATAGGAAGTACATGGTATAAGTGCAGAATCAAATGTAAATTTGAGAA